TATAAAAAATGAAATTGGATATGAAAAATAGTAAAAGCTACGTTAACAAAGTTAAATACGCTTACCATAAATTACCACTTGGCACCAGTACCTGAGTGAAGCATCCCGGACAGGCCCCCATATAATATGTGATGGTAACGCGTTGGTGTTCGGCTGTTCAAAGCTAGGGGTATGGCCTCGTCACATAGTATAAAAAAAAATAGAAAATCTGGAACTTCGTCTGTGGTAAGGTAAGGAGAAGACACACAAAACAAGTAAATTTTAACAATGAAATTTTAATTACGTTAAATAAACAAAACATGAATAAAATGGACAAACAAATTCGTATAATAAAATCAATCAAAATAATAAGAATAATTAAATGACACAATGAAAAGTTACATTAAGACAAGTGAGCAAAATAACAAGAAGTGCAATATACAAGTAAATGAGAGGTGCGGGAATATCGGCTTTAAGCTATCACCTCTCTCAGTACACGTACGCCAAAGCTTACGTCTAGCAGGGAGAAGTGTTAACTGTGAGAAAGCACTGAATATTCTGAGGACTGAGGTCGTGGCGGCCCCAGACATCAAGTAGTATGGTGGGCGAGTGCAGTTGCAGCCAGACCGGCGACCAATCAGCGAGGAGCTGGCAGTAAGACGGGTAGTTTGGCGGTTTGAGTCTGAGCAGGTGTCCCTGGCTGCATACGTTTTGCGCTCTGGCAAACCTTGCTGGTGTTGTTGTCATTGTTGGACATTTCTTCCATAGTAGTTTTATATAGATGTAACGACGTATTTGTGGAGGGAAGAGCAGGCTCAATCTCTTGAAGGAGATTATCGTCACATTATGAATAATGCTTTTCAACGCGGAAATGAAGGGAAAGTGTATTGAGAACTATGCCTCTTTAACGCAAGCTGAGTTAACCGCCTTTGTTATGTCGTTATGATTCCTTGAACGAAACACTAATGGCGCAGTGATCTGTACTGATTCAGAAGCAGCTCTACAAATCCTTACTAAAAATCGGGCAGAAAATCCTGCGATAGTCGCTGAAATCAAGAGAGCTGTGAGGGGGTACTAACCAATCAGGAAAGAGTCGTCAAATATCTGTGGATCCCCTCCCATGGTGGAATCTGAGGACATGAACGAGCAGATGTGCTGGCTGCTGAAGGCGCTGAGGGAGATCATATTGAATACTTCATTCACAAGACTACAAATTAGAGGTATCATCAGGCAATATCACCGTGACAAAGAAACTGAGGAAAGGAGGATAGAAGAACAAATCAGAGAATCTGTACACTTGTACAACATAGTTGCAGCTGGCAATCCCAATCATTATGGACGAAGAGGAGGTGGCCGCGGGAGAGAATCAGAAATAGCCAGAATCCGTCTTGGATACAAATATCCATGGAGATTTGGAATGGAAACAACAGTTGAGCAGCAGAGTTGCAGAATCTGTGGTGAGAGTGATGGACACCGCCTAGACCATTATCTACCAGACTGTGAACATCTGAGATACAATAGAAATATGTGTAGAATAATAAACCCCACATTTTTTGAATTAGGAAATTACTACTTGTCATATATAGATTCAGTTCTTAAAAGATTCCCCAATTTTGCACCCGCAAGATAACGTAACATTTTAAGGATTGACAAATGTTAATCTTCTTGGTTGAGAAGCTGTTCACTTGAGACAGTTAAGCAAGTCCCAGCTGTGTCTGGGTACACAGGATGGGACACATACACATACACAAGTGATAGGATGAACAACCCTGCAGGTTTTCTTCCTATTGGGGAGTGCTGTACATGCTTCTATGGCGGCGAGTCCACTCACAGGATGAGTGGCGCTGTCCAATAAACTCGCCCTCGAGGCAAAATTAAAAATAGGTTGACATTTAGGAGATAAGGAAGGCTACATGGAGTTGATTAGGTAGCTTAGTTTTTCAGTTAAACTGGCAGAGAGAGAGGGACAGCCTTTGACGTGATTGGTAAAGTCATTCCACATTTGGGGATCATTGATTTGAAGGACATTTCTAGTGGGCTCTGTTATATGGCTTGAAAGCATTTAAGGTCAGGATTGGTTTATAGTTCAGAGTTATATATAGTAGTACACTTGAGAGGATGTGCAGTGACAATATCTAACATATTCAAAGATTTAAATAATGGAGCCGAGTGCTGTCTGGGGCCAGAATTTGTTATTGTTATAATAACTGCCTTATGTTGAGTAATTAGAGAACAAAGACTATTTTAGGTAGTAGAACCCCAACACAGATACCATAATTTAGAGAAGGATAGATGAGAGATTAATAGAGCATTACAGGGCAGACCGAGGTACATAATATCTGATTTTAGAAAGAATGCCAACTGTTTTAGATTTTTTTTTGCTATATTTTGAATGTGCCCCTCTAAATGAGAACACCAAGGAATTTACCATCTACCTTGTTACTAATTTATTGTTAATTCTTAGATTAATTTGATCTGCGGATTTATTACCAAACAAAATGTAGAAGGTTTTATCAATGTTAAGGGTGAGTTTGTTAGCAGTTAGCCAAAGATGGACTTGATTTAGTTCAGTATTCACTGTGTCATTCAGAATGAGAGGGTTGGGACCAGAGGAAATTAAAGTTGTGCCATTAGCGAAAAAATTTGTTTCAGATGTTGAGAGGCATTTGGAAGGTCATTAAAAGGAGCAGAGGGCCAAGTACACTGCCCTGAACTCACATAGTTCACCTAGTTGTGCTTGCGGGGGTTGAACACCGCTCTTTCAACCCGCCTCTCAACTGTAAATCAATTTTTTCCACACACACACAGGAAGCAGCCTGTAGCAGCTGTCTGACTCCCAGGTACCCATTTACTGCTAGGCGAACAGAGGCCTCAGGGTGAAAGAAACTCTGCCGATTTGTTTCCGCCATTGCAAAGGATCGATCCCTGGACCTTAGGATTACGAATCCTGAGCGCTGTTCCCTCAGCAACCAGGCCCCTGTGGAACACCAATGTTGATTTGGGTAGAATTGGAATCATTCACAGAGTCTCATATGATAATATGTGGTCTAGCTATAACATCTTTTGGGAATCTTGTTTGGAGTTCCAACCATTATTAGTTTAAAAGTAAACTTGAAAATCCTTTCCAGTAACACCTTCAGTTGGAATCATCATTTCTCCCCATAAGTGTTGCCTAACCACTTAGACTGGTAGACCGACAGTCTCGCTTCATACAGGTCGGCGTTGATGTAACACTGTAAGGTGTTTGGTTTAGTTTATTTAAAATATATATAGTACATGAGTCACAGACAAGGATTTGGGAAGGCGCCAGCTTGGTCGGCCTGAGTTTCACACCTCTAAGAGTTAATGACCCCAAGTGACCTGAGGTCAGATCATGCAAATTTCACCTTACTTCTACTAATCTCATAATTGGAGCCTGGTAGCCTTCAAACATGCCGACGTTTAAGGAGTGGCTTGGTAGAGAGCCGGAGGCTATCTACTTGTGGGCGGAGTTAGCTGCTAGGTTTCCCCAATATAAACTCGGAGAGCTATCGATTCGAGAGTATGAGCATTAACACGACAGAAGACCAGGCAGCAGAGCAGGACGACAACAGCCGAGACAGGCTGTCGGTCGGACGGGGGTGAAGCTGCCTGACAGCTGCAGACTCTCCCCCCCCCTCTATCCAGCTATTAGCAGACACTTGGTGAGTTGAGCATTAAGGTGACTTGGTCATGTTTTACAAGTGTTGTGTGATGATCAGGGGCAGTCAGTTGTAGTGTTCTCAGATTCTTGGAGGATGACTCACTTTACATATATAGATCTTGAACATTGCTTAAATTATGATACTTAGTATGTGAAATATAATTGAATTTATTATTTAAATTGCCTTTGTGTCCCCTAGAGTTGAGTTGAGGTGAGAAAGCCTCTGGGATTATTGGTTCCCTGATTTTACTGAGTACATTAAAGATGGGACATACTAATAATGACCTTGATAACATCTTTTGAGAATTTTGTAATACAGACAAGTTCCATTCCTGGTCTTGTATGTAATGATCATGAATGGATGGTGGCAGCATTTTGTCTTCTACTATCTACTCTTCTACTTCTACTATCTACTCTTCTACTTCTACCTATCTACACCTCTCCCTCCACCCCTCTCTAAACTCTCACTTTCAACTAATGACCCTCCTCGCTCCTCCCACCTCCCTACCTCTCACCCCGAACCCTCACTAATTACTTCACTATTCATTTCTTTCCTTTCGTTTTCTCTTATACGTTTGTGGCAATGATTCTGTATTCTAGAGTTCTCTCTAGAGTTTCGGGTAGCTGATCCAGTTACGGCACCTTGTAGCCTTAGCACCTAGGTAATCGAATACCTAGGTTACAAGGTGTTGAACGAGAGAGGTTGCCTTAGGAACTCTGGAGGTGCTCTAGAATAGTTAGCTAACTGAGGACGGGATAACGGACTAGAGAGAGCTGTTTCCCCCGGCCTCGTTAGTTAACTGGGGGGTGGAATAATGGACAAGATAGAGCTATTTCCCCCCCCCCCCCCCGTTACATTGATTCCCCGAATGTCCAAGTAATTGGGCACCATTCCTTCCCCTCCCCCCTCCATCCAATCGCAAATCCTTATCCTGATCTCTTCCAAGTTCTATATAGTTGTAATGGCTTGGCGCTTTCTGCTGATAGTTCCCTTCCTCATAACAGTCCACATTCTACATACAGGTCGTACAGTCTATATGCATTACGTCCTGCTGTAATCTCTCAAATATACCATATAAATATATGGGACCGTGTCAGGGTTTTCTCATGTACAATATAGTCGGCACTGATTTCATTATAATGAATTTTCCCTAAAATCTCTCCCTTATCTTGATGTTATATCCAGCTTGGGAAGCAATCCTTAGTGACTTCCATTGACTCTAATACTAAAGTATGCCCCATCCAGTGATTAATTATTCAGGAGTTAACGCCTCCCATCCTTCTATAAAAGTTGTAAGCAACACTGTTTCTTTTTTCATCAGTAACTGAACGTTACACAATGAAGGTGATGCAGCTGCTCCTGCGGGCGTCGCTGGGGGCGTCCCTTGTCTACTACGTCTGCACCTTTCCCTCTCCCTCCTACCAGCGTCCCTTCAGCCACAGCCACCGACATGAAGCAGCAGACGGTGAGGTGCCCCTCGGCCATCACGCTCACAAAAGTGATACTGTCACAGGTGACAATAAGGGAACAAATGTGTTCAGTAGTTACGCACGCGCAGGAGACGAAAGTACTGGTCATGACGAGGAAGACAGGGACGTGAAGAACAATTACGCAGACGGCATCGTGATTTACAGTGAGGTGAAGAGGGAAGGTGGCTGGACACAAGAGACCGCGACACCCAGTGATGATCACGTCAGCACTGCTGCAGCCGACCATGTGGGGCAGAACGATACTTGGCCTCACACTACACACCCCAGCCATGCTCTGGTGAGTCATCTGCAGCAGCTGGTGGTGAGTGTGGTGGTGTAGTTGGTGTGGTGAGTGTGGTGGTGTAGTTGGTGTGGTGAGTGTGGTGGTGTGGTGGTGTAGTTGGTGTGGTGAGTGTGGTGGTGTAGTTGGTGTGGTGAGTGTGGTGGTGTAGTTGGTGTGGTGAGTGTGGTGGTGTGGTGGTATAGTTGGTGTGGTGAGTGTGGTGGTGTAGTTGGTGTGGTGGTGTAGTTGATGTGGTGAGTGTGGTGGTGTGGTGGTGTAGTTGGTATGGTGAGTGTGGTGGTGTAGTTGATGTGGTGAGTGTGGTGGTGTGGTGGTGTAGTTGGTGTGGTGAGTGTGGTGGTGTACTTGTGTGGTGAGTGTGGTGGTGTACTTGTGTGGTGAGTGTGGTGGTGTAGTTGGTGTGGTGAGTGTGGTGGTGTAGTTGGTGCGATGAGTGTGGTGGTGTAGTTGATGTGGTGAGTGTGGTGGTGTAGTTGGTGTGGTGAGTGTGGTGAGTGTGGTGGTGTGGTGAGTGTGGTGGTGTAGTTGATGTGGTGAGTGTGGTGGTGTAGTTGGTGTGGTGAGTGTGGTGGGTGTGGTGAGTGTGGTGAGTGTGGTGGTGTGGTGAGTGTGGTGGTGTAGTTGATGTGGTGAGTGTGGTGGTGTAGTTGGTGTGGTGAGTGTGGTGGTGTAGTTGATGGGGTGAGTGTGGTGGTGTAGTTGGTGGGGTGAGTGTGGTGGTGTAGTTGGTGTGGTGAGTGTGGTGGTGTAGTTGGTGTGGTGAGTGTGGTGGTGTAGTTGGTGTGGTGAGTGTGGTGAGTGTGGTGGTGTGGTGGTGTGGTGAGTGTGGTGGTGTAGTTGGTGTGGTGAGTGTGGTGGTGTAGTTGGTGTGGTGAGTGTGGTGAGTGTGGTGGTGTGGTGGTGTGGTGGTGTGGTGAGTGTGGTGGTGTAGTTGGTGTGGTGAGTGTGGTGGTGTAGTTGGTGTGGTGAGTGTGGTGAGTGTGGTGGTGTGGTGGTGTCGTGGTGTGGTGAGTGTGGTGGGGTGAGTGTGGTGGTGTAGTTGGTGTGGTGAGTGTGGTGGTGTAGTTGGTGGGGTGAGTGTGGTGGTGTAGTTGGTGTGGTGAGTGTGGTGTTGTAGTTGGTGTGGTGAGTGTGGTGGTGTAGTTGGAGTGGTGAGTGTACTCACCTAGTTGTACTCACCTTGTTGTGCTTGCGGGGGTTGAGCTCTGGCTCTTTGGTCCCGCCTCTCAACCGTCAATCAACAGGTGTACAGATTCATGAGCCTATTGGGCTCTATCATGTCTACACTTGAAACTGTGTATGGAGTCAGCCTCCACCACATCACTTCCTAATGCGTTCCATTTGTCAACCACTCTGACACTAAAAAAGTTCTTTCTAATATCTCTGTGGCTCATTTGGGCACTCAGTTTCCACCTGTGTTCCCTAGTGCGTGTGCTCCTTGTGTTAAATAGCCTGTCTTTATCAACCCTGTCGATTCCCTTGAGAATCTTGAATGTGGTGATCATGTCCCCCCTAACTCTTCTGTCTTCCAACGAAGTGAGGTTTAATTCCCGTAGTCTCTCCTCGTAGCTTATACCTCTCAGCTCGGGTACTAGTCTGGTGGCAAAACTTTGAACCTTTTCCAGTTTAGTCTTATGCTTGACTAGTTATGGACTCCATGCTGGAGCCGCATACTCCAGGATTGGTCTAACATATGTGGTATACAAAGTTCTGAAAGATTCCTTACACAAGTTTCTAAATGCCGTTCGTATGTTAGCCAACCTGGCATATGCCGCTGATGTTATCCTCTTGATATGAGCTTCAGGGGACAGGTCTGGCGTGATATCAACCCCCAGGTCTTTCTCTCTCTCTGACTCCTGAAGTATTTCGTCTCCCAAATGATACCTTGTATCTGATCTCCTGCTTCCTACCCCTATCTTCATTACATTACATTTGCTTGTCTTAAACTCTAACAACCATTTGTTCGACCATTCCTGCAGCTTGTCCAGGTCTTCTTGAAGCCTCAAACTGTCCTCCTTTGTCTTAATCCTTCTCATAATTTGGCATCGTCAGCAAACATTGAGAGGAATGAGTCTATACCCTCTGGGAGATCATTTACGTATATCAGAAACAGGATAGGTCCCAGTACAGAGCCCTGTGGGACTCCACTGGTGACTTCACGCCAGTCTGAGGTCTCACCCCTCACTGTAACTCTCTGCTTCCTATTGCTTAGGTACTCCCTTATCCACTGGAGCGCCCTACCAGTTACTTCTGCCTGTTTCTCCAGCTTATGCATCAGCTTTTTATGGGGTACTGTGTCAAAGGCTTTCCGACACTGTGGTGGTGTAGTTGGTGTGTTGAGTGTGGTGGTGTAGTTGGTGTGGTGAGTGTGGTGGTGTAGTTGGTGTGGTGAGTGTGGTGGTGTAGTTGGTGTGGTGAGTGTGGTGGTGTAGTTGGTGGGATGAGTGTGGTGGTGTAGTTGGTGTGGTGGTGTAGTTGGTGTGGTGGTGTAGTTGGTGTGGTGAGTGTGGTGGTGTAGTTGGTGTGGTGAGTGTGGTGGTGTAGTTGGTGTGGTGGTGTAGTTGGTGTGGTGATGTAGTTGGTGTGGTGAGTGTGGTGGTGTAGTTGGTGTGGTGAGTGTGGTGGTGCAGTTGGTGTTGTGAGTGTGGAGGTGTGCTCATCTATTTGTACTCACCTATTGTGCTTGCGGGGTTTGAGCTCTGGCTCTTTGGTCCCGCCTCTCAACCGTCAATCAACAGGTGTACAAGTTCCTGAGCCTATTGGGCTCTATCATATCTACACTTGAAACTGTGTATGGAGTCAGCCTCCACCACATCACCCCCTAATGCATTCCATTTGTCAACCACTCTGACACTAAAAAAGTTCTTTCTAATATCTCTGTGGCTCATTTGGGCACTCAGTTTCCACCTGTGTCCCCTAATGCGTGTGCCCCTTGTGTTAAATAGCCTGTCTTTTTCTACCCTATCAATTCCTTTGAGAATCTTGAATGGGGTGATCATGTCCCCCCTAACTCTTCTGTCTTTCAACGAAGTGAGGTTTAATTCCCGTAGTCTCTCCTCGTAGCTCATACCTCTCAGCTAGGGTACTAGTCTGGTGGCAAAACTTTGAACCTTTTCCAGTTTAGTCTTATCATTGACTAGATCTGGACTCCATGCTGGGGCTTCATACTCCAGGCTCGGCCTGACATATGTGGTATACAAAGTTATGAATGATTCCTTATACAACTTTCTAAATGCCGTTCTTATGTTGGCCAGTCTAGCGTATGCTGCTGATGTTATCCTCTTGATATGGGCTTTAGGGGACAGGTCTGGCATGATATCAACCCCCAAATCTTTTTCTCTCTCTGACTCTTGAAGAATTTCATCTCCCAGATGATACCTTGTATCATGCCTCCTGCTCTCTACAGCTATCTTCATTACTTTACATTTGCTTGGGTTAAACTCTAACGACCATTTGTTCGACCATTACTTAAGTTTGTCTAGGTCTTCTTGAAGCCTCAAGCAGTCCTTCTGTCTTAATCCTTCTCATAATTTTGGCATCGTCAGCAAACATTGAGAGAAACGAGTCTATAACCTCCGGGAGATCATTCACGCTTATCAGAAACAGGATAAGACCGAATACAGAGCCCTGTGGGACTCCACTGGTGACTTCACGCCAATCTGAGGTCTCACCCTTCACCGTAACTCTCTGCTTCCTATTGCTTAGGTACTCCCTTATCCACTGGAGCACCTTACCAGCTACTCCTGCCTGTCTTTACAGCTTATGTACCAGCTTCTTATGCGGTATTGTGTCAAAGGTTTTCCGACAATCCAAGAAAATGCAGTCCGCCCAGCCTTCTCTTTCTTGCTTAACCTTTGTCACCTGGACGTAGAATTCTCTTAAGCCAGTCAGGCAAGATTTACCCTCACTGAACCAATGTTGGTGATTTGTCACGAAGTCCCTTCTCTCCAGATGTGTTGCTAGAATTTTTCTCACGATCTTCTCCATCAGCTTGCATGGTATACAAGTCAAGGACACTGGCCTGTAGTTCAGTGTCTCTTGTCTGTCATCCTTTTTGTATATTGGGACCACATTCGCCGTCATCCATATTTCTGGTAGTTCTCTCGTCGTCAGTGACCTACTGTACACTATGGAGAGTGGCATGCAAAGTGCCTCTGCACACTCTTTCAGTACCCAGACCCTACTTTCAGTAGGGCGCCTGACAACTGGGCGGACAGCGCTTCGGATTCGTAGTCCTGAGGTTCCGGGTTCGACCCCCGGTGGAGGCGGAGACAATTGGGTAAAATGTTTCTTTCACCTTGATGCTCCTGTTGCCTAGCTGTAAATAGGTACCTGGGAGTTAGGCAGCTACTACGGGCTGCTTCCTGGGGGGGTTGTAACAAAAAGGAGGCTTGGTTGAGGACCGGGCCACGGGGACGCTAAGCCCCAAAATCATCTCAAGATAACCCATGGGGAGATCCCGTCAGTACAAACAGCCTTTCTCACAACCAGTTCCAACAGGTGTCTCTTGACCTCATCTTTCGTAATTTCGAACCCCTCCAACAGCGCCTGGTTTACTTCCCTCTCTCCTAGTGCAGTGACCTCACCTTATTCTATTGTGAAGACCTCTTGGAACCTCTTTTTGAGTTCTTCACACACCTCTTTGTCATTCTCTGTATACCTGTCCTCGCCTGTTCTAAGTTTCATTACCTGTTCTTTCACTGTTGTTTTCCATCTGATGTGATTGTGGAATAGCTTTGGTTCGGTCTTGGCTTTATTTGCTGTATCATTTTCATAATTTTTCTCTGCTTCTCTTCTCACACTAACATACTTATTCATGGTTCTCTGGTATCTCTCTCTCTCTGCTTTTTGGTGTTCTGTTATTCCGGAAGTTCCTCCACGCCCTTGTGTTCAGTTCCTTTGCTTCCATACATGCCCTATTAAACCATGGATTCTTCTTTTGCTTCTCGGATTTTTCCTTTTGGGCCGGGATAAACCTGTTTACTACCGCCTGA